CAATTATAAAGTGTTTCTCATGGGTTGCACTGATATTTTTTCTCTTAATGTTGAATTCAGTGTCGTATATCTGTAGCCTTTCACTGTTGGTTACGATTAATATTTTTCCATCAGCAGATCCTACCAAGACTGTTGATATGGTTATTGGATTATTGCCTCCTCCTCCCGCTGATTTACCGGCCCTTCAATGGGGACGTAAAAAAGAAAATAAGGCAAGAGAGATTTATAAACTCATTAAACGGAAAATACACAGACATATGAAAATGTGTGTACCTGGTCTTAGGGTGGATGAGAGTAAGCCATTTATAGGCTGTTCTGCTGATGGCGTGGTTACATGCTCATGTAAACCACATCATCAACCCAAACTACTTGAGATCAAGTGCCCATATGCATGCAGACTGGAGTCCCATAAGGATGCTGCCAAGAATAAAGGTTGCAAAGATGTAGCAGGAAGGTGGCAAGTTACCGAAACCTCACCATACTATGCGCAGATACAAGGTCAGCTCGGTATTTACAAACTTGCTGCGTGTGATCTTGTTATTTACACAAAACTGGGTATACAGATCATTACTGTTCCTTTCAATGAACAGTATTTTTCCAGCATGGTGCAAAAGTTGATTTGTTTTCTACAAGCAGTGTGTGCTGCCCAGACTCTTCGCTACTGCATGAGTTACTATGCTGTAGTATTCATGAAACGTTGTCAGCTTTTCATCACACAATATCCACTAGATACAAAATCAAATCCACTAATACGCATGTATAGTAACTGCACTAAAGCAACCAGTGCATGTGTGTATGAGTGAGTTTTATAGAAGGAATATTTTTATGTGTCACAAAAACAACATTTTATGATAAACCAGCGAACAACGTATTCACCAACACACAGTACTAAACAACAATATTAAAAATGACATGTACCCATTCATATGCATCTTCAAAACCCGGTGAATATACTCAAAATAGTGAAAATAAATGGTTTGCAGGAACTTTGGTCAACATTCTATTAACAATGTATTCTGGATACCAGTATTTGTATCATACATTTGCAGGTGAAACTCTGACTTGTTTGGTTAAAACATGTAATACATATTTACAAATTAAAAATAATCAATAACATATATTGAAAACTATTTGACTAAAACCTTATCCAAATTACATAGTTGAGCACACCGGTCTACTGTCTGATTCATAATTGTTTTGGAATTTAAAGGGAAAACACCCTGAAGAATTTTCAAGTATTTCAATCGCCCAATTGCCCTTTCTACATGGATGCGAGCACTTGCAATTCTCCTAGTTTTAGTCACAGCTGAGCTACTAAGTTGATTTCCATGAGCAAAAGGAGGATTATTTAGTGTTGCACCTTGCAAAGCCAACAGGTCGCGAATTAAAAAACCACGGTCAGCCATGACATCACCTGGCTTAATATAGTCCATAAAACTACTGCCTTGAACGATGCGCTTATCAGATACAGAGCCTGGCCACAAGTCTGACAAAGAGATTATTGTACCACATGGAGAGATTGCAATCAGGGGCTAGAAGGTGTTGTGAAGCTTGTATGATGACCAGGTTATCCTTTGTGATGATGGGAGGGATGTTTTTAGTACAACAAATTCTGTACAGTCTATTATGGCAATAGTTCTTTTAAAATTCCGGAATGCGTTTGGTAGTGATGCTCGGACATGATCCCTTAATGGCCACTTTATGAGAAACGCTAACTCCTTGCATAAAAACTCCACCAAGGTATTGCTATAACGGCTGGCAGTAGCATTGGAAACTCCAAAACAGTCAGCAAGATGCTCCACATCCATACCTCTCCTCAGTCGAACCAAAACCAGGACAAGTGTCTCATATGTAGAGAGTACTCTTCCATGACCATTGTCATTATTGACTGGATTGTCTTGAAATAAAATGTAAAACAAAAATTGAAATAAAGAATATGTACATTTTGGGAGTGGAAGATCAGTTAAATGTTTATAATTGCTTCTCATCCAACAAAAAAATGACATGATTCAGAGACTGTTTAATTTTTTTTCCATTGAGATTGATCAATACAACAAGAACAACAATTTTTAACATTAATTACAATGTATGAGAACAGTGATTTTTCTTTGAATTGATGTCATATTCTAAATGGATACTTACAGGAGTGTTTTCACCTTTCCATAGAGTCAGTCGTTTGCCTTTGGCCTTTATCCTTTCAAAGAAATACAATAGTATTTGCAAAGATGCCAGTCTTAGGGATAAAATATATATATTCATTTATAGACATGCAGTTGAAAACGGGTGCAGGTCAAAGATCTCAAACCTTGTTAATTTTGCCAAACACAAATAAAAACAAAACTACACAATTGTAATAAAATATTAAACATTGAACAGTGTTGTTCTTTTGCATGGCTTCTCCAGATGTGAGTAAATTCACTGTGACTGGTGTGCTATTCATTTTTTATTGACACATATTTATAAATAAGTAAATAATGTTACTTTATTTTTTCTAACGAAAATTTTACATATCATTATGCTACCTGGGTTTACAGTGTAGCTAACCAACTAATGGAGAATAAACAAATGAAATAAATAGTGGTGAAATAATACAAATCCGAAATTACCCTGCTTGCAAACACTAATAAATACCCACCAGTGTAAAATTTACAAGATTTATCATCTTTCTCAACATCTTTCAAAAACAGCTCTCTCTTCAGTAATTTTGTATTGCTCAGTGCCTTATCTGTATATACTTGGAGGTGTTCAAATGAAACACATTTGTCTGTGTACTGGCATCACACATCAAAGGCACATACTTCACAGGACTGCTACTTTCACCATTACTAGTAGTGTGGACAGCTTTTGGGGTTCCTAACAAATAACGAGAAATGGCCAATATTGCATAATTCACACCTTAGTTCATATGGATAATAGGAAACTGTCGACACTGTATGATAGACACAAGCATAAATACAAATAACAGAAAACTGTCAATATGGCTTATTGTGCACAACAAGCATGCTTTAAAAACACAAAGCTTGAAAACTCATCACTTTTCGATATAGAAGGGAAGTTAAATACAACTATTATTAAAATCCGGTATTATGAATATTAAATTGTACAAGTAGTAAATATTACAATTTATTTCTGCACTTAGAATTAGAACTAGTTCACTTACCAACAATCGGCTTGGCTCGTTGTCAGGAGAGGTATTCCCTAACTCTGTGGCAACATTGTTATTAAATGTGTAGCTATTCGCATTTAAATCCTTTTCAAATTCCGAGGTAACAGTAATGTCAGGAATCTGGTTTTCATCGGGATACTAATGATAAGATAATTTAAGAAGTACACTTGTGAGTTTCAAATAACAAAAAATGGACAATCCCATGCTAAACCACATTTTATTAAATAAATAAATAAAATACACGATCATAAAATTAAAACAATATTGATGGCATGAAAACAAACAGGGTAATGTTCCGATCAGTACAAATTGCAAGAGAAAGTTAAATGAAAGCTTAATGTACTCGCCGTATCAACAGACTTCAACGTCTTCCGGCGCTTCTCTTGCTTTGCCGCTCGGCGATTTCCTCTTCGTCGGTGCCGATCTAATCTTCCGCGACTCGAATATACGGCGTTCGACACCTCTCGCAGTCGCTGGTATTGGGTCTGGATGCGACTCCGTAGGACCTTTTCCTCCCACAAAGTGCATGGAACAAACGTAAGTGTCCTGGGTGTATGATTCTGTGTCGACCGAAACTGTCTGTCCGAGAACAGGCGCTGATCCATCGATCACACTTTTCAGACTGCGTTTTTGATTTAGGGAATCGCAAAAAAAAAAACACACCATTCATATAATCTTTGTACTGAAAGCGAGAATCACTCTTACATTCGCCGTAAGCGCACCGTTTGACTCCCATTGTAGTTTCAAAGGACAGATATTGTTTCGTGAAGAGGTTTACAATACGTAGGACAACGTGGTTGCTACCATATTGAACTGAAAGCTTGACCTGTATCACGCGACTCGACTGGTTGCTAAGGTGCGTGAACCGTGGTCACGCGTGATCTCGCAGCTTGCGAAAAATGGCTTATTGGGACGAATTGACTGAATCTCAACAACAGAGTATACATATAAGATGTTTGGTAGTAGTGTTAGCGTTTAAAACTCTAATTTGAGAGTGATCTCCCCGAAACTTCGATCCTTAGAAAAGCTGGGATGATTTATCAAGGTATAAAGTAACCGTTTTATAATTTTTTGAAAAATCAGGAAGAAAAAAAAATGAAACTTTCCTTTCTCCGCTACCTTAAGATCAAAATGGGTCATCAAAATTTGGCTTTCATTTAAAAAAATAACCCATAATTTTCAGTAATACTGACTTCGAAAATTATGATACATAAATAATTACATTCATACCAAACCTTTTTTACAAAGTATTTCATTTCTGATGGTTAAAATATCAGCAGATCGATCGTAGACCACAAGTGTTTATTTTCCTGTTTCGAGTCCGTTTATGATATAAACGAAGGCAGACGCTTGCTAACAACTGCTGGCACGGCAAAACGTTGCACATTGTGAATGTTTGAGCTTTACAACACAGTGAGTGTTCCCATACTCCCTCCCTTCATTGAGTTCCACAACACAGCCAGTGAGTGCTACCATTATATAACCCTTCATCGACTTTCACAACACGGCGTGTGTGTTTTCAAATTCCCCTACGCTTTATTAACATACACAGCACTTCTGCACGGCCAGTGAGTGTTGCAATCACCCCTCCCATCATTAGCATACACGTATGGCCAGTGAGTTCTCCCGTTCCTCCTCCCTTCATTGACATACACAATACAGCCAGTGAGGGCTCCCCCTCCCACCGGTGAGTGTTCCCATTCTCCCTCCTTTCATTGATTTTCACAACACAGCCAGTGAGTGCTACCATTATCCCTTCGCTTCACTGACTTACACAACACGGCCATTGAGCATTTTGGTGAATTTACATCTCTAAGCTTTCACAGCATAAACAGCTAGTGTTTCAATCAATCAATCAATCAATCAATCAATCAATCAACACATCCTCACACCTCGTCCTCCCTCATTGAGTTATACTTCTTACATGGCTTGTTATGCTACTTCCTGACATGTCATTTCTTTTAGTCCAGCCAAGATTTAATTTCCATGTATATCGTCACAGAAATTTGGCATGGCTAACCTGATAGTGGTTTTGAAATAACAAACTTACTCACATTGAAATTTGACTTTGAATACTTTCATATGAAAGATAAACTGGCTCCATTTGATGCAATATGTACCACATATAAAATTTCATTGGTCCTTTTATTATGTCCTCATTTGCTGAAGGGCATTTGATCAATCATACATTATTTATGTTTTCCTTTCCTTATCTATGTTACGAGTGCTTCCAAGGACTTAATCCCTCACAGTCATGTTGCCCGAGATTACTTCTTTACTTTTGTTTCGTGGTGTCCTTTGCAACTAGCAGTTTGCTATCCATGGGATGGTGATCGGTAGCTCCTTGTGGTGAGAAATGGTATATCTGGCCTATATACAGGGTATCGTCTTGTCTTCAGTGTCTTGTTTTTATTTTATGTTATTTGCCCTTGTATGATTGTGAATTAAAAATGACACCAGCATGAAGTTTACCCATTTGGATGACCATATCTGCCAAACGTTATGCCAATCTCATCAGTTTGTACATCACTCTGAAACACAATCTACATGGAGTTCGTCATCTCAACAGCAGGTAATGTATGGTTTGCCAAACATGGGACTGGTCGAAATACTCTTGCGTGAAGAACAAACAACTTATGCACAAATGCACCCCAGGCTTTCCAAACCACTGCCAATTTGACAGTAGCATGGGAATCACTATTGTACTAGGAGTATACATATAAGATGTTTGGTAGTAGTGTTAGCGTTTAAAACTCTAATTTGAGAGTGATCTCCCCGAAACTTCGATCCTTAGAAAAGCTGGGATGATTTATCAAGGTATAAAGTAACCGTTTTATAATTTTTTGAAAAATCAGGAAGAAAAAAAAATGAAACTTTCCTTTCTCCGCTACCTTAAGATCAAAATGGGTCATCAAAATTTGGCTTTCATTTAAAAAAATAACCCATAATTTTCAGTAATACTGACTTCGAAAATTATGATACATAAATAATTACATTCATACCAAACCTTTTTTACAAAGTATTTCATTTCTGATGGTTAAAATATCAGCAGATCGATCGTAGACCACAAGTGTTTATTTTCCTGTTTCGAGTCCGTTTATGATATAAACGAAGGCAGACGCTTGCTAACAACTGCTGGCACGGCAAAACGTTGCACATTGTGAATGTTTGAGCTTTACAACACAGTGAGTGTTCCCATACTCCCTCCCTTCATTGAGTTCCACAACACAGCCAGTGAGTGCTACCATTATATAACCCTTCATCGACTTTCACAACACGGCGTGTGTGTTTTCAAATTCCCCTACGCTTTATTAACATACACAGCACTTCTGCACGGCCAGTGAGTGTTGCAATCACCCCTCCCATCATTAGCATACACGTATGGCCAGTGAGTTCTCCCGTTCCTCCTCCCTTCATTGACATACACAATACAGCCAGTGAGGGCTCCCCCTCCCACCGGTGAGTGTTCCCATTCTCCCTCCTTTCATTGACTTTCACAACACAGCCAGTGAGTGCTACCATTATCCCTTCGCTTCACTGACTTACACAACACGGCCATTGAGCATTTTGGTGAATTTACATCTCTAAGCTTTCACAGCATAAACAGCTAGTGTTTCAATCAATCAATCAATCAATCAATCAATCAATCAACACATCCTCACACCTCGTCCTCCCTCATTGAGTTATACTTCTTACATGGCTTGTTATGCTACTTCCTGACATGTCATTTCTTTTAGTCCAGCCAAGATTTAATTTCCATGTATATCGTCACAGAAATTTGGCATGGCTAACCTGATAGTGGTTTTGAAATAACAAACTTACTCACATTGAAATTTGACTTTGAATACTTTCATATGAAAGATAAACTGGCTCCATTTGATGCAATATGTACCACATATAAAATTTCATTGGTCCTTTTATTATGTCCTCATTTGCTGAAGGGCATTTGATCAATCATACATTATTTATGTTTTCCTTTCCTTATCTATGTTACGAGTGCTTCCAAGGACTTAATCCCTCACAGTCATGTTGCCCGAGATTACTTCTTTACTTTTGTTTCGTGGTGTCCTTTGCAACTAGCAGTTTGCTATCCATGGGATGGTGATCGGTAGCTCCTTGTGGTGAGAAATGGTATATCTGGCCTATATACAGGGTATCGTCTTGTCTTCAGTGTCTTGTTTTTATTTTATGTTATTTGCCCTTGTATGATTGTGAATTAAAAATGACACCAGCATGAAGTTTACCCATTTGGATGACCATATCTGCCAAACGTTATGCCAATCTCATCAGTTTGTACATCACTCTGAAACACAATCTACATGGAGTTCGTCATCTCAACAGCAGGTAATGTATGGTTTGCCAAACATGGGACTGGTCGAAATACTCTTGCGTGAAGAACAAACAACTTATGCACAAATGCACCCCAGGCTTTCCAAACCACTGCCAATTTGACAGTAGCATGGGAATCACTATTGTACTAGGAGTATACATATAAGATGTTTGGTAGTAGTGTTAGCGTTTAAAACTCTAATTTGAGAGTGATCTCCCCGAAACTTCGATCCTTAAAAAAGCTGGGATGATTTATCAAGGTATAAAGTAACCGTTTTTATTATTTTTTTGAAAAAATCTGGATAAAAAAAAATGAACTTTTCCCTTTCTCCCGCTTACCTTAAGATCAAATGGGTCATCAAACTTTGGGCTTTTCATTTAAAAAAAAAAACCCA